CCCCCACCCCCACCCCCCCCACCCAAGTGTCGTCTGGATGTCAGCTGACCATGGTGGTCTGAACTGTGTGTATTCACTTTAAAGCAACGCTTGACTTAGAGCAGAGACAGACCGGAGTGAAAAGACAAAGCAAATTTAAACAAAATGTCTCAAAACAAAGAACTGGTGGTTTTCTACATAACATATAAACTCTCCCAGAAAAACTATCCTCTCAGCCACTTGGGACTAAATGAGTCTCCAAACAGGACTGATGGAGAGGAGGCAACGCACGCCAATGGGACTTTTAACGGCACCAGTCCCGGGACCCCCCCAGCATCCCCGCTAAGGCAACAACAGTTGCCATCAACGGCAAACCTGGATGCGGTGAAAGAGGCCCTCCGGGACTCAGCCAATGAGTTTGAGCTGCGATATGCCCGTGCTTTCAGTGATCTGCACCACCAGCTGCATATCACACCAGCCACGGCCTACCAAAGCTTTGAGAGCGTGATGGATGAAGTGTTCCGGGACGGCGTCAACTGGGGCCGCATCATAGGGCTTTTTGCATTTGGCGGGGCGTTGTGTGTCGAGTGTGTGGAGAAAGAGATGAGTCCGCTGGTGGGTAGGATTGTAGAGTGGATGACAGTCTACCTGGATAACCACATTCAGCCCTGGATCCAAGGCCAAGGAGGATGGGTGAGTCTCATGAGCACACAGAGACATACACAGAAAAAAACAGTGTGTAGGCACAGTGTTGATGTTTGCTTGTTTAGTCCAATTTTATACCAGTACACTTATCACTTCTGTGGGTGTGGTAAACTGAGATTGGTTAGATGAAAACAGCAGCCAGCTGCAAAATAAGGAAAATTCCAGTTGTGTTCTAGTAGTGTGTATGGATTCTAGTGGCTGTTGTCAGTATGATTGGTTGTTTGTGCTGTTGTGGTGCAGATGTGGTTCTCCAGCAGTGATGCTGTTGAAACCTGGGCCGCTCATATATATATATATATTTTTTACCTTTGTCCACAGTGCAGCCATTTATGCACACTGCTTGTATGTAGTTGGTCTCTGAACAGTGAGGCTTGATTACCTGCCTGGACTAACCTCCAGTGACAGGATACCATTGTGTAGTGAACTGTACGTCACAAAGGAAAAAATAATCCAGAGCATAGGTTTTATTTTATCATAAATGCTGTGACTTGGCTCATACAAATCACAGATAAGCAGTCATGCCTACATGTGATCTGTATCAGCTTCCTTCAAATTGTGAACAGTGGTGGAGAAAAACATCACATTAAATATAACGGTCTAGAAAAAAAGGCATCACACATGGTATAAGAAGCATCTGTGCTTAAAAACAGTATGTTTGTGTGGTCAGCAGCTGGTTCAGCTGTTCTCTAATTGATCAGCAGCAGGGAGCTCAGTGGGCTGAATCGAAGTGGGAGCTTAACAGGCTACATCAGGGCTTTGTATCTCCCTGCAGCTTTCCTGCCTGGGGATCGAAGTTCTCTCATCGCAGGGTGGGATGAAGTCCGGGGCTTTTACAGATAGCCCTTTGTTTTACTCCGGTCAGTTGATTGGCTCTGTGCTTTGTTTTTTTGTTTCTCTCACTATTTGTCCATTATTCTTCCCCTGCTCTGTCCTCTCTTATATCATGTTCTTCACCAAGACACCTACATAGAGATGAAGCCTCTGCTGTTTTTTTTTTTTTTACTGTGGGGCCAGCTCGAAAGTGGCCCTTCCTGGTACTGACAGTCCCAGTGTGTACGTGAGAGTGAACCCTTCCAGGACAGTTAAGGTCAGCTCTTTTCCTTTGTGCTGACCATTTGATGTTAGGAAAGAGAGCTGGAGTGAGGGGAGGGCCTGTTTATATTCACTGCAACCTGTATAACACCAGGTTGAAGGTTGATCCTGTGGTAACTCACATAGAGACAGAGCACCATGCATCCTACTCTGAAAACCACACCCACCCACTTGTACTTCATTGACTTTGCACTGGATGAAAGTTTCTCTTTGACAATTTTATACAAAAAAAGAAAAATGCCTAAAAGCAACTCTATGCTTGGATGCACTACCAACGAGGCAAAGAACCCAGAGTTAAAGTTTTAAAAGCTGTCAAAAACAGAAACTATAAGAAGACAAAAGTGGATAAGATGTGAGGCATTAGCAGAAACAATGGGGAAGCAGGAATTTCTACACTGTGTGTGTGGCAGGTGTCTTGCTATGTTTGCAGGAGCCTTAGCTAACTGCAGTAGCTTGCTAGGGCATAACACAAGGGAGGAAAATTAGCGATAGTCAGGGTATGGTTGATGACTAAAACGATTATAGGACAAGTTAGCTGTGTGTTAGCAGGCTACTCCTGTTCTTCCTGCTAATGCCTCGGGTTTATCCTCTTAAAAGTTGTTTTTGTTTGGTACATTTTAAAACTACCTCTTGGTTCTTTGCCTTGTGGGAAGCCTACCACACAGCTGCTTGTAGACATTTTTAAGGTTTTTGTAAAAAGACAGAATTATCAAAGAAGCGCCTTCACTCCATACAAAGTCAGAGAAATCAAGATGACCCCTCCCCCTGTTGTGGGCGTGGCCTAATGCGCTCTGTGTCTGTACCATTGGCTGAACCTAGAAGAACATTTAGCTCTGCAGACCATGGTTTCACTGTTGTTTGTGGTACAGAGCCCAGTTGTATTTATTTCAATGTTGGACTGAAATCTGGCGATAACACAGAGGACAGGGAGTGAGGGAGGAGGGCACTGTAAAAACAGGTGACAGGGTAATAAAGCTTTCGCTGTACTGATGTTAGTGTTTATTTATTTTTTTTTGAAGGAATGTTGTGGCACCAGAGGTTTGGTTTGATATACACACACTCCCATTTCTGGTGATGATGTTTTTAGCTACCTGGCTCCAAGGATGGCAATGTTGTACTGTCAGTTTGTTGGTCCACCAGTTTGGTACAGACTGAAATATCTCAACCACTATTGGACTGAGTGCTGTGTACAAATATTCATTGTCTCCAGAGGAGAAATCCTAATGATTATGTTGATGCCTGGACCTTTTGTCTCGTGCCACCAGCAGGTTGACACTTTTGTATTACTGTAGTTTTACCTGGCTGGACCTAGTCAAAAAGTCCTGCTATGTTTGAACAAAGGCTTGCTTGGAATTTTACAGTAGCTCTTTGTCTGAATGCCAAAAAGCACAATCACGTATAGCCCGCAAATTCACAGGTACCATGTCTGAAAGGGGCTTTAGTTTTGTTGATTCATATTAGCAGATGCTATGTATAGCTGAAAATGCAGTCAGTTAATGAAATAATCATTTATTTTGATTATCCATCCATACATACATCATCCATTTTCTGCCGCTTATCTGAGGTCGGGTCATGGTAGCAGTAGGTTCAAAAAGGTAGTCCAGATGTCCCTCTCCCGGGCAACACGTTCCAGCTCCTCTGGCAGGATTCCGGGGCATTCCCATGCCAGATGACATACTTAATATCTCCAGCATGTTCTCGGCCTGCGCCGGGGTGTCCTATCAGTTGGACGTGCCCGAAAGGCAATCCAAAGGAAGGTGTCCTGGAGGTAGCAACTTCGAGTTGTGCTACCTCGCTCAAAAATGGGGAACCCTGCTGGAGACGAATCTGGGAGGGGAGCTCGCCGGCGGGCATTTGGTGGCCGGGCACAGCCCATAGCAATGACACGGTGCAACTGCCCTGTGGACCCACCACCTATAAGGAAAGGAATCGGGTTCAGGTGCAGTGCAAGTCGGACGGCAGGCTAGGTCGGGTACCTGGATGTGCTGACCCTTTGCTGCGTAGGCTATTTTGATTATTATTTCCATTTTATAGTTATTATTTGATCTAACTCCTTAACAGTTGTTTGTAGAACTCCAAAAATCTAAAGGCACATTCAGCGTAGAATAGATCAAACATGAAGAGGTTCGTCTAAAAGAGCAATCTAATTTGTCATCGTGACCACTAATAAAATTTTTTACCGTCACTGTCGTCAACACAATATAAATAACACATCTGTCATGTGGTTGATCTCATTTGACCAAAATGATGTAGACACCCACACACTCCCACAAAGACATTTACTCAATTGTACAACATGGTTTGCTTATCAACAATTTGGACTAACAAAATCGGTTAACATGCTGTAGCTGCTTATGGTTCTAGTGGCTTGCATGTCTGTATAGCCTAGTCTTAGAGAAATGAATTACTTCATCTGAAATGTTGAATGGATCGGTATACTGAAAACATCCTCTGGTATAGTTTCACTTCTGCCAACAAATATTTTCTGTAGCACATGATGCCATTTCCTTCCCTACTGACTTTCGTATAATTCACTTTTATTTTGCTGTTGGGAAGAGAGCTCTGGCTTGATATGTGTGAGTTATAAGTAGACACACTTGCCACAGGGGTAGTCCTGAGCAGCAGTGTAGACTCTAGGGGGTTTACAGTTAGAGTTCTATCATTTCTTCTCATAACTGTGTTTCTTTTCCCCTCTTTGCAGTAACATCTTTTTAATTTCTGTTTTTGTGGTTTGTCTCTTCAAAACCAACCTACATGTTCCCCGAAATGCAGCAGTCTTTCGGCGCACCCACAAGAGACTTTGTTTTTTTTTTATGTCTTTTATTTCCCTCTTTCTTCCTTCCATCCCTCCCTTGACACCTCCTCACAGGGATGAAGCACAGAGCCGTTGGCAGATGTGGGAACCTGAGTATAGCTCTGAGGCAGGTGTGCCCTTAGTGTTAGCTGATGAAATATTAGTCTGCTCTTAGCAGCAGCAAGGTCACTTTCTCTTTCACTTAGCCATCACTCTGTCTCATGATCTTATTGTTGCTTCCCAAATTTTTAAATCTGTTTGGATGTGTTTTGACAGAGATGGGAGGATAAGGACAGTTTGCTTTTAGGTGGCACAATAGAAAGTATGATGTAAAGCAGTCTCTTGTCAGCACTAGGTACAGTTTGTTAATTTGAGCTCAGGGTTATTTCCCAAAAGTTGGGGATTTACATTATTTTTGGTTGTCTAAGCTCCACACAAGTTTTAAGAGAAGGTTATGCTACTGCAAAGCTATTGTTCTCTTTAACCACTGCTATGTCTCTGTAAACATGTCTGCACATAAACACACCCGAGACAGTCTTTGGAGGTGGTGAAACAGCTGAGTTGTATAATAATAAACTTTATTTCTATAGCACTTTTCAAAACATGGTTACAAAGTTCTTCACAAAAACATAAAGATAAAACACAGCAAGTAGCAAAATAAAAACACAGGCACATGTATTGTACCCCCATAAATATACATCTATAAAACACAAGCAAATGTGTACACATCCATAAGCACACACACGACAGATCATTTAAATAAAAAAGAGATAGTTAAGAAAAAATGTTTTAGAAGGAATCGAAAGGTCCCCAGTATAATTTTGTGCAAGACTATGCAAAGCTTTGAAAACAATTACTATGATCTTAAAATCAGTTGGCCATTACAAATTAAAAAGCAAAAGGTGTGTCATAAAAACTGAAAAAGTCTCTGTCTAAATTCTCCCACTGGAGCTTATTTCGGAGCTTCCACTGTCCAAGATGCTAAAATATTTGATAGTAGTTTAGGATGTGAGCCAGATTCTCCCTCCACAGCCTGTGCTTTTAAAAGAAGCACAGGAGTAAAGCCGTATATTGTCAGATAATAAACCTGTTTGGCAGACAG